AAAAAAAAAAAAAAAGAAAAAAGAAATCATACAGGTAGTTTATTTGTGCTGGTCATTATGCTGCAATGCTTATCTTCCAAATTGCAGTATTTCCCCATAGCCATATTTTGAACTGATTTAGTGATAACTCCGAAGGAGGCTTATTTTGCATAGGGTCATTGTATCCTTGCTAAAACACACATTACTGTTAATGGCTTGTTGAAAGTTGATTATGGCTTCATTCTGTTTTCCAATGGGATGTGGTTGTGATACGACTCAGGAATTTTAAGCATTCCTGTTTCCCAATTTTTAATATTTTTTTTCTGTGAACTTGCAGTATCTTTCCAATCAATGAGTATTTGAGATTGTTGAAGGTATTTTCCAGATATGGAAATGCCTTAGGGAAATAAAAGAGAAAAGAAAAAAACAAGATAAACAGGGTATATCAGTAGCTCTTTTGGATATTGTCTTTCAAAAGATTCCATTCTTTGTCTTGCTTGGTTGATTATTTCTCAACTTGAGAAACAATTTAGTTGTTTAAAGTTATACACACTTTCTGTTGACATTTTAATACACTGAATATTTCTTTTAATGAACTATTTTAAGGTGTCTATAGCAGAATAAGCTATTGCCATTGGATTAAAGCAGTAACACCACAGTAGTTATTAGTTTGCTGCTAGAAAGTATTCTATTGTGGGATATCACAGCTGTTAAATGTACCATAAGTGAAACTGAGTGTAACTCAGATGCTTGCATATCTGTAAATGTACTGATACTAAACCAGTAATTATATAAAGCAATACAGTTTTTGCTTTTTATCTCTGGGGATATTTTCAGTGTTGTGCATGTAGATTTAGCCCTTTGACTTTCACTAGCATCTTTGAAGTGTAATTTTAATTTTTGCACTAATTTTAATTTTTGCACAGGAAATCTAGCAAATTTCTTGCTAGACAGCAGATAGCTGCTATTCAGACATTTATATTGTGCATATTTTTTTAAAGAAGTTAGAGTGGGTCAGAACATGAAGAAATGCTGTGTGGGAAAAAATGTGAATTCCGAACTGATATCTATGTCAGTGCTTATGCCATCTCTGCAACTTTTATCACCAGAAACCTCACACAATTTGACATTTTCAGAGTTTGTCTTGGTGAATAAGCTAATAAATTGAGAGAAAAGAGTATCAGGGGAAAAGTAGAAAAACATTTAACTGCAGCTTTGAGTTGTCATAGATCTAAATTAACAAGTAACTGTTCAGAGAAGCAAAGGAATGTAATCGATGGTCAGGTCCTGGACATGACAATCTCATAATATTAGCAAAGATATTTGGGGTTAATCCTCTTTGTGTTGCCACTGTTTTTCTTGTGATCCTTCTTCAAGTGCTCAGTTTTTCTCTTTTTCCTTGAGATTACGACTTTCTGTCTTTGGACATTTATTCTCCACCTTATTCCACTGTTCTTCACTCACTCTTTATCTGCGAAGTTAGCATTTTTAACCTAGAGGTCAAGATCTTGATGTGAAACTGGGATATTTTAGGTTGACTTGATCTATGATGCAAGAGTATACATTTTAAAAATAAATATTGCATGATATAAAACTTGAATTTATACTGCAGTGAAACTGCAGGTTAAGTGTTGGAGTACTCTGCTGCCTGACCAGAAGCTTTTCATGCTTCCTCTAAGGTGCTCTGTCCTTGGGATGTTTGTCTTCACACAGATGTTGCTTGTAGTAAAATCTGGCAGCTTTCATTTTGCTTAGCTGTGACTCTCTGGATTTTCTCTACTGAGCTTTCATCCTGACTGTCTTCAATTTGACATCTCTTATATCTCATTGAAAGGTTGGTTTCAATGGAATACCAGTAACTTTTCTTAGAAAGCTTTCCTAGAAGTTTTATATCTTTATTTTCTCTGTCAGCTTTCATAGTGTTGCTAATGATGGTGGTCTTGAAGTTCCGCTTTTCTGAAATTTGACTCCTACATATTTTTTGTTACCTGTATAATTTTTTTTGGTGTGCACTTTTTTCCTTCTCTGTATTTTTTGACATTCTGTACAGATGCCATGGGACTTTGTCTTTGTTTTCTTTCATTTTGGTACTGTCTTGGAGTGATGTTATCTGTAAACATTAACTCAGCAGCCTTTTCTGTGCTCTTCCTTGAATTAACTAGAATCTGTTACCTCTTATGCCTGATCTGACTGTCACTTTGAGTGACAGAATTTAAACGCAGTTCTCAGTCCCTGCCCACCCACCCCACCTGTCTCCTTGAACACTGAACATCATTACTTTCTTTTTTTGTTCCTTAGGCAGTAATTGGTCAGTCACTTACTTGTACCTCTTAAGTTACTATGCCCCGAATTTCTTCATCTGCACGCTTTCTGCATAGTATCTAGAAAGTTCAACCTTTTTGGGTAAACCAAACAGAAATTGCAATAATTTTTATTGTCTCCTCATTTTATATGTTGCTATTTATTTATGGTCTTGGGTGGATTATACAGCATAGGTCAAACTTGTTAAGAATTCTAGAAAGGGCGTCTGTCCTCTCTTCTTCCTTTGTCCTTCTCATCCTCTGCTGTGTTCTGCTTCTGAACAGGATCAAATCTGCAAATTTTTCTTAGCTTTTAAAGTGCTGAGAGTTTATTCTATCTACCGTCATCGAGAAAATTTGGCTATCTTCAGCTTCTCCATAGTATCACCTATTTCTGTCCATAAATGTTTGCAAATCTACTTCATTGGTTTCTTTTTAAATTTCTCACACTCTCCTCTCCTGTGAAAGTTCTCAAATGTGGTGCCTTTAAACACTGTGAGGACATGTTTGAGGTGTTGGTGCTGTCCTGTCAGGCAAAAGTAGTACCTCATTGTTCTCATGTGCGTGTCTCCCCCATCTGATGTTTGTTTCTGGGTAGGGTTTTAAAACTCTTTATTGGGGAAGCATCTTTTCCATTTTGTGTTCATCCATTGCCTGGTGAGGGGAGATGCTGATCTGCGACAACACCTTTTACCTCTGGTAATAAGGAGTGCTGGTGTATTGGACAAAAAGGAACTTCATGAATGTGGTTACTGTTAACTGGGGTCGTAAGTTTCTTTGTTGCTGCAGGATCTCATTGTCATGTCATACCTTTTATGTGTTAATCCTTAAAAGGACTGGTTTGGGTTTTTTTGTCTGTTAAATAATGCCTTTTTATTATTTCATGAAATGTTTGTATAACTAAAGAAATAGCTTGCTGTGTAGTAGATTCCCCACACACCTGGGTTCTCAGTAGCTTTGGAGAAAAACTAAAAATAACTTCTTTTGTCTTTAAATCTTCTTATTTTCTGGTTCACAGAATTAAAAGAAATTGTATTTATCATCCAGAGTCAAAGTAATTCTTTTCATTCCAAGAAAGCAGAAGATCTAAAAAGAGATATTTTAAAACAGGCTGCAGATCTTGGAAAGGTATGTTTAGATAATATAAATTGCACCTTGTTATGTATGTTTTTACTGCATTTACTAAAAATATAGTTTTCTGTTATGCCTTTTTTGGATCCATTTTATGCTTTTTATTAATTGCCTTCTGTGTGCTTACAAGAGAACTATTTCAGTGGGTTTTTACTGACTGTATGCCATGATACATCACCAAATAATTTTAATTTGAACTATCTACCTTTTTGTATAATAACTGTTTTTGTTTGGAGGGCATTTGATATAAAAGTGATAACAAGAAAGACTTGTAGTGTGCCTTTTAAGAAAAAAAACAGATATTTTCTTTATGAAGTGAAAAACATAATCATTTAAGCAATAATTTTTAGGTGAATATTTAATTTTATTAAGAGCCAATGAAGATGCTGTAATGTAGATTTTGTCAGAATTTCATTGCACAACTGTGGCATTGTAGCAGTAGAGCAGCAATGTATGTGGACATTAAAATCCTAACGCAGGATTTCCTTCTTCCGGCAGCAATAGTCTTCTGCACCTCTCTTGCTCACGTTGGTATTAGCTCCCTCCCTGGTGCAGTACCTTCCATAATTACTCCTTGTTCCTCTGCTACCCCGCTGCAGGCTGAGCACTCTGCCTCTCACCTGCTGGTGGGCCATGCTGGCCTGGGAGCTGCATGTCGTACAAGTCTCATTTTGACTTAACACTCTAATATGAAATATTACTTGTAAAGCTTTAGCCTAGAGAGAAGAGGTTTTTAAGAGGCTTACATTGAAAGTTAAGTGTATGTAAACAATGTTTTATTTTCTTTCTCTTTAATAGAAATAAGAACAAAGTAAGAGGTATACATCCCCTGATATGAAGTACCTTGCTATGAGGTTATTGGTCCTGATTTTCAATTCTGGGTTCTTCGTTGTAAAGGAAAAAAAAAAAAAAAAAAAGTCTGATTTAAATTGTCTTATCTATCTTGGCCTTGGAGTGCCTAAATCAGGTTCCTGGATGTTTTAGGCTTCATTTATCCAAGCTTATTAAAACTGTTGTAATTGAATCCATTCTAAATGCAATTTTTAATCCCTTAATGAGATCAGTCATGTGAACCGCCTTTGTTCTGCAGAGTTCTGCTCTTTTAGACTCTTCTTTGGGGTTGGGGCAAGTGTTCAGATACAACGTGTGCAGAGATGATTATGGCTTCAGTTGTTAAAAAACAGGATTTTAGTTGAGTTCTGTAATTGATGTTGCAGAATATGAAGGATAAAAAGATCAATAATTGGGAGTATAAATAATTTCAGTGAGGCAGGAATATAGGCATGTTTTACAGGAGAGAAGTAAAATCTTTTTTGTAATCAAAGAGTTTTAAGTACTTCTGCCTTGAGCAAGGTGAACTGGCTTTTAAAAAACTTCATTGTCTAATTAAGGAAATTCCTGTATGGGAATGCTGAAATACTGATGCTTTTCCAATATCAAAAGGTAACTGTTAAACACCTTTCGTGGCATATTAAAGAAGCAGTGATGGAAATAAATCACACCAAAAATCTCATACCTGACATCTGGGAAAAGCAGAAGGCCATCAATGTACAGGAAAAAAATGAGCATAGCCAGCATGTATTTGACACGTCTTGACTGTTTTTATCAACTCGCAATTACACTGTAGGCCACTGTGAGGCATGACAAAATAATAATAATTATGGCAAAGAGACAGATCTCTTAAATTCAGCACATCAACATTGGAAGTTCACATTTTTCATTAAACAGAATACATAAGAAATGATTACTTTCAGTCAAAGGAAGTTAAATCCTTGTGTTTTAAAGGACAACTGCTGTATAGAAACAAAGGACTAGATCAACTGAATTGTCAGGTTCACTTGCTTATTGTCACAGAACCAAATGATAGATGTTTAGTCTATTCATTAGTTATTAATTTCCGCTGTTTTAAAGTGAGAAGTGGAAGTCGGCTACTAGATTTGTTTTATTTAATGAAATTAGAATATCTGCATTACTTTAAAATGGATTAAATCACTCACATTCATTTTTACTTTACATCAATCTTTGCAAATAATCTGTCCATTTATTTTCTTTCACTGTGTACTTAAAACATTGATTTCATGTGAAACTGATCTGTAATTCCAGTCACCAGTAGATGTCATTATTGAGTTCGTGCTTAAAAGCATATTTCATAACAATTTATTGAATATTAAGCAAAACTCTTAAGTATATTAAACAACGGCTAGAACATAGCAATGAAGAAAATTCCTTAAGATTTTTACCAATGTTCTTAATTTTCTGATGTTTCTGCATTTAAGAAGCTCTGTAAACTATGCCTTCCTAAGAAATGCTGGATAAGAGTAAGGAAGCTGTCAGAGTGCGAAATGATAATATTTGGGACTGTTCCCTTTCTAGCTTCTTAAAAAATTGAAAACTAGAATTACTTTTTTGGTTATTATGTTTTAAGACTAGAAATCAGGTAAAATACATTTTTTGAAAAATTATAGATTTTGTCTGAAATACTGTTTTAGATGCAGTTAATGCTATTGAATTGCCTGGGATCTTGACATTGTTTTGAAGACAAAGGACTGTGTATTTCTTTATGAAAACTTGTCTAGTAGAGTAAATGCATATTTTTTTTCTTCTTCTTCTTTTTCCTCCCCCTGTGGGTTCTTATATTGAACACCCTCACCCAATTCATTACATTCAAAAAACTTATTTTTCCTGAAAAGTCTAGAGATTAAATGGTATCCTATGTATATTAACCAGAAGAAATAGAGCAAATTAGTAGTATTCATTATAGAGTTTAAAAAAAAAAAAAACCAACCACAAACCAATCGTAGAATTTAGGTTGGAAAAGACCCTTGAGATCATCAAGCCCAACCATAAACCTAACACTGCCAAATGCACCACTAAACCATGTCACTAAGCACCATGTCTACCTGTTTTTTAAATACCTCCAGGGATGGTGACTCAGCCACTTCCCTGGGCACCCTGTTCCAATGCTCGACAACCTTTTCAGTTAACAGTATAAGAATAAGATTTTAAGACTAATACCATAGAATATTGGAAAATGAAAACGACTATCACATACTTCCATATGAATAATAGATGATGTGAAGTATGACCTCTGTTTTATAGAAGTGTTGGAACTATAATTTGCAGTATTTTTGCTATTAGGCTTACTTTGTTTTGAGCAAAATCCTATATTTTGTGCCATGTCACAGAAATGAAGCTTCACAGATTTAAACTATCCCTGCATATAAAGGAGAATATTGCTGCTTTGTGAGTCTGAAGACTATTACTGTAGTGATCATTAACATGAGTTTAAAAGAAACAAGTACAGTCAAAAGTATTTAACTGTACATAGAAAACTTTCATATTATGTTGTTTGAGTAAATAGTTGCTTTAGTGAACATCTTCATTTTGGTGCTGTTCAGCCCGGAGAAGAGAAGGCTCCGGGGAGATCTTATTGCGGCCTTCCAGTACCTAAAGGGGGCCTACAGGAGAGCTGGGGAAGGACTTTTTACTAGGGCATGTAGTGATAGGACAAGGAGGAATGGCTATAAACTGGAAGAGGGCAGGTTTAGATTAAACATCAGGAAGAAATTTTTTACTTTGAGGGTTGTAGGCACTGGAACAGGTTGCCCAGAGAGGTTGTTGAGGCCCCATCCCTGGAGGTGTTCAAGGCCAGGCTGGACGTGGCCCTGGGCAACCTGGTCTAGTGGGAGGTGTCCCTGTCTATGGCAGGGGGGTTGGAATTCGATGATCTTCAAGGTCCTTTCCAACCTTAACCATTCTATGATGCTATGATTCATTGAATTTTCATAACATTGGTTCTTTGCCAATCTCCCAGTCTCCAGTTTGGCTAATGTGAAAATAGGGGACAAATGCTAGGAGCATCCTATAGTTGTGTTCTTGTTTATTTAAAACAGTTTTGCAAAATATTGTTTCCTGAAGTGCAGCAGGAACAAAAATGATCAGAAACCCAGCTGGCCTATGCCACTGGTCTGCGCCTCAGAAGTTCAGTCTCTTTGTTATGTTACAAGATGATGCTTACAGAAGGTTCTATTTTTCTGCTTCCAACACACATCAGCTGTAACTCAGTATCGTAGCTGCTGTATCTATAATGTTGAAAAGATTCTTGGTGCCTGCCTCAGCTTTATTATATCATTAGAGTCATGGCCACAATATCTGTTGCCAACATGCCAATTGCTGTTGAGTGTGGCATATGTGCTTTAAAAATCTGTTATTTTTAATTGCCTAGGCTGTACTGATGGCAGCATTGCGCTATTTCAATAATATGGAAGATTTCTTTGTTAAAGTGTTGGAGAGGAGGAAAAAGTATAATTAGTTTGCCTGAATTTTAATGTAAGCAATCACCATATTCCTATCTGAAATCATCTGTCTCCAAATTGTTCCTGCTCATGTTTTTGCCATCTGTGAGAGACTACTTTCAGGGAATTTGTAGACTGTATCTTTTTTTTTTTCTTAATATGCCAGTGGGACATGCATTCCTTTTCTGGGTGAATTAATGTTTTCTGAGGTTCTTCCTAGCTCTGCTTCCACATCTGATTTCAGATGCTGGAAGCCATCTGAAGTTGTGTTGTCCAAAAGCCTCCTTAAATATTCCTCTGTTATTGTTTGATACTGTTCCCACAATGAATTCTGACATCTATATCTCACCTGAAAGAGACTTTGAAATACTGTCAGGCTATGATGGAAACAACTCTGAAAATCTGTCTGGATTTTTCTTGGTCTGCAATAGTAACTGCATAATTTTATTCCTTGTTAGATATATTCCACAAATGAGCAGGCATACATCTTCCAGATCTAGAACAAGCTGTATAGCTAAAATTTCCTTACAATTCCGAGTCTTGGAGTAGGTCTGAACTGTAAAGCTCACATACATATTAATAATTCTGTGGTTATAAAATCTAGTGGAAGGATTTCTCTTTTACTGCAACAGAGTTGTTTAAACTGATCTGTGTATTTAGAAAAGCTATTCATAGACTTAGTTTGCTGGACCCCTTTCAAAA